GCTCATCTCCTTTCCCTCTCTTGATTAGTTAGTCCTTGAGATCCTACTTTCCCTTTCCTTGTATTATATCTTTCTATTTGTAGCTCCTTGCTTTCTTGATGCCTTCTGCCTGCCCTGCTTTACCATGGACTGTTTCTCCTCTGTGATGCCCTCCTGCCATCACGCTCTGCCTTGGAGCCAGCCAACTATAGACTGAGACCTCTACAAATTGTGAGCCAACTAAATGTGCCCTCCTTTAACTTTGCATGTTAGGAATTTTGTGTCAGCAATGAGAAAAGTAATGAAGACAGCAGGTTGCTCCCAGGAGCCAAGCTGCTCAGCCCTTAGCTTCTTCCAACATCTGGACTCTAAAGAGTTTTAAGACTTAGAGTATTTTCCTCTGTAGCAGGACCTAAGTAAAGATTTTCTGAAGGAGATAGGGCAGAACTAATAGCCAGTTTTGGGGCAGGGTGTCTGAGTTCTAGGTTTGTGCATGATGCCCTTCATCCCGCTATGTCTTTGTTTTTCTCTGGGAAAGGCCAGATCAGAAAGTTTCAAATATTTCTCAGTGGAGCAGCCAATTGAACAGACCAAACTACACCAAGATGTGACCCAGTAGACCCAGTAGGTGAAGGGACCCCACTGTGGTTGCGCATCTCCGCACATGTTGACTGTGACCATGGGCACTGGGGAGTGATGTACTGCCCTGGGAGAGTCCTGGTGGGGAGGGAGAATGGGTGGCTGGCTCAGAGGAGGTCATCTGTGGTGGCCGGCATAAAATTTGTATCCAGGTTTGAATAAGGTACCCTAGTGTTTTCATTTTCCACTGAGAGCTGCTAATTATGTAGCAGATTCCCCATGTGTCAGCCACTATCTGTTTCTGAGAAAGGATCTTAGCATGTAGGAACCTCAGTTTGTTACCTGTAAAACAGACAGTGATAACACTGGCCATGAGGAATGGTCAGGGAGAGGAGTTAGCAGAATCTATGCAGAGCTCTAGCGGGTTCCTCGCACATATGAATATATGACCATTGGTACTTACGGCTATGGAAAATAATGACAATACTATTGCATGATAACACAAGTGCCCTGCCCAATAACACAGATGCTGAAAGGGGTCCACCACCCCTGGCCTCTTACCTTCCTGAAATGGCTGTGTTTGCATCTGTAGGCGGATCTTGATGAGGTCCACAGGCCCCCCAAGCCCAACAGAGACCACGCCGGCCACCATGCTGGCCAGGAGCAGGTCAGACAGGCTGTGGTGTGGACTGGCCTCAGGCTCCCCACAGTGATGCTGGCCAAGGAACCTCCGTATGTTGCTGAAGACCCCGAACACTACCGAGTTGTAGACAGCAATGCTGGCCAAAGGGAAGGCCATGCCCTTGAAGAAGCCAAACACCTGTGGTGAGACCAGTGGGAAGAAGTGTGAGGTCCAGGGCTGTACCCCCAGAATGCAGGCCAGCAGCCAAGCATGGGACACTTTTCCTTCTCTCTTATAGCCTAGAGGCTGGTGCAGGAGGCAGCCAGGATGAATAAACCACCGTGGATGGGGGTGCAGGAGAGGACCCTGCTGAGACAGGAGAGGTGGCAGGTAATTGCCCTGATGAGGAACAGCTTCTACACGACTTGGTCTGTCCCATCCAATGGTGGCCTGTCCTGGGCCTGGATCTGGCACATGGGTAGTAGTGAGCCGTGGTGTCTGTGGACAGCTATGGCTCAGCCCTTGCGCAGATCTCAGGTTGAGGGACGCCTGTCCTCAAATGGCTGACCCACACCACTCATTCTATTTAGATAAACTGACACATCACCTTGCTTCTTCAAAAACTTTCCACATCGTTCTAAATTCCTCAGGATTTCTCCAGAGAAGTTATAGAAAACCAGGTTTGCCCCCAACAATACCACATTAGGCAACAAGGGTAAGTTAACATAAAATGTAAGGTTTGAGGTGTGGTAGGAAATTCAAAAGGAAAATCGGACCAACCACAAGGGGCAGGAATGAATGGCCTCCTTCCTGCGTGCTAGTGCAGGTGTGTGGGCCAGGCCCCCGGTCCAGGAAGGGCCGTGGCAGGGTCCTCCAGCCACCCAAGCAACTTACACTCTCCCTCCTGTATACCATGCGGATGCAGCTGAGGGTGTTCCCATAACCAACGCCAGCCTGCAGGCGAGTCTGTGGAGAGAGGAAGATTGTGGGACCCACTCGGAGATCAGGGACATTCCCGTGGCCCCAAAAGATGTGTAGAGAAGAAAGGCCCCTGCCTGAAATGACTCAGACTGGAAGGAGGTGTAGGTGCCGGTCCTGGCCGGCCTGGTGCTCTGTGGCCTGCAAGCAAAGCTCCTGCTAATGTTCCATTCAAGCCCACTCAATGCAACAGAACATCACTTCTCCAGAGTGAAGGCCAGGAGCATTCAGGTGTGTAGAAATGTAGCATAGGATGTGTAATCCCTGTCTCTTCAGTACAAAATGCCAGGCTAGTCTATCGTGTCGTCAGGCACTTTGCCTCTTAAATATAGGGGAGCCCTGGTCTTCCTGCCTGGGGAACCACTGTCCCAATCTGTGCTCCCTCATCTCTCACCTGCTTCCCTCCCACCACTTTCTTCCTCTTTCTCAACACAACAGTCAGATGGATCTTTTCAAACACCACCAAAGCCACATCACTGTGGCTTTGTGTTTATAGGTCTCCAGTGGCCACCTATCAAATTTAGAATATATTTCACCCTTTTTAGTCTGTGCTCAGGTGCTCTGGGGAAGTTCTGGGCTTGCCTGTGACTCCACAAGCCATTTCCTTCCCATATCCTGCCCTGTATGCCCTCCATATGCACGTTTACATTCTCCAGAGTATTAATTCTTACCTCCAGACCTTTGCCCTGGCTGGTCCCTCCCCTGGAAGGCTTCCTTCTGCTGTTCTCTTGTTGGTTTGAGCTTAAATGCTGCACACACAGTCTTAGCTGCTTGCTTATGCAGGGCTTATGTTGGATTACTCCACCTGCACAGGGCCACCTGTCTTTCCTCCTTCTTGTCTCTGGAGTTGAACGGAGCCCTGACACAGTGGCTGCTTTGCACTGGCCAAATGAGGAGCTGAGTGGTAAAGGTATGGTGTCCTCTAAGGGAGACTGGCTTTGGTGATCAGGGAGCAGCAGTGGACAGACACAAATAGTCTGAGGAAGCCCACAAAATTGCCTGCAGCACCCTTTAAGCTGGTCTCAGAGGTCCAGTACTTTTTTTTTTCAAGGTTTTATTGATAAACAGCAATGAGACAGTTTCAAATCAAATCGGAAGTACAGTTTCAACAAATAATACACTGCATATATTCTTCTTAGTGGTTAATTGCTGTACAAGATGCGGACTTGTGATCCTATTTACAAACACCATTAGAACAAATCATTCTATTCATTAAGAGAATGCAACTATATATCTATCCCAACCTCTTTGAATACACAGATACAAAATGGACATTCATCAGTATACCCCATTTTTTCTAAGTTCCGTTATTGAATATTATAGGTGTGTAAACTCAGCAAAATATTCTAAAAGAGTCCAGTAGCCCATAATAGCATTGGGTCTTCTGTTTAACTGGCAATGTCAGAAATTATTGACCTGAGTCCCCCACAGCTCAACTTAACAACATGGCTTTATTTCTTATATTTCGACTTCATACTTTTCTACTGGATGGTTAAGACCAAGGTAAAGCAAGACCTATGCAACAAGAGTTGTAGCTTTTTGGTCTGAGAAGGTCAGTGAAATGCCCTCAGGATTTGTCCTGAGATCCTGTACCTCAGATTGTAGAACATTTATCAGTGCAGCCATGTGGATGAGTCACGGCCATTGCTTGGCCAATGAGTTCTCTGTGAAAGCCTGAGAGAGTGTCTTCTCCCCATGTGACTCTCCTTAGGCCCACTCTATGTCATCGATCACTTTCGTCTTTGGCCCCATAATCTTCTTGATCAGAAAATTTGGGACACTACTGAGGTACATGACGTTACAGTACAAGTTCTCATATGTCCTGAGTCTTAATTGGAGGTCCAGTACTTTTAAGATTCACGGCATGGCCTATAACTTTCCATAAATGGTTTCCCACAGTATACTTTGCCAGCATAGGAAGGAGCTGTAAGAGCCATAGAGAAGGTGCCAGTACTGGCCCTGACATGCAGTGTGCAGTGAGAAGCCAAGGCCTGGAGAAGTGGCCCTGCCGTACACTGCCTGAGCTCGACTCTGAGCCAAGTGGAGAAGCCCCAAACTGCAGCCTCCCAAGTGGTACTTTCTTGTATGGAATTTGTCTGCATTTCCAATTTTCTTATAGCAATCAGAGGTGACTTTCATTATTTTTAGCTTGTATGGTTTTAAAAAATAATTTTAACTATATAACTAATATGGGAATACATTCTGGCCATAAAAGTTTTAATAACATATGAAAGGCTAAAAATTTTCTTTGATCTGAGCAATTGATATAGAGAGCATGTTAGATAGAAATATTACAGGCAGTCAGACAGGGCGAGGCCCTCCAGGAGCCAGTGCAGAAGGTAGGGTGCATTGCAACTGTGGGGGAGACACAGACACATCAGGGGCAGACCCAACACAAAAGATAAAACAAATGCACCCACATACCTCCCCTAAGGATAAACAACAGTGATGGATATTCTAAATAGGTACTGAACACCTGGGGAAAACCAAGAAGAGTCCCTGACCCACCCCTCCAGGAAATGACCCTGTCCTGCTTGTGCCCACTTGCTGTGTGACTGGGTTCCCCATTTGATCCCATTTAATCAATATTACCTGAGCAATTATGCTTGTAATTTTATAGGTTGACCACAGTTTTGTCCCCCTCACGCCCATCTTGTGATTCTCCATTTTTCCCCACCTTGGACCTTCCTCACCTCATGGTTTTGCTCTACAAAAATCCCTGGAAAAGGCAGGGTCTTTGGCAACCTGCTCAAGACCCCTCTGTCTGTCTGTCTCTCTCTCTCTGTCTCTGTCTCTTTCTCTCTGTCTCTCTCTGTCTCTCTCTGTCTCTCTCTCTCTTTCTCTCTCTTTCTCTGACAGAAGCTTTCTTTCCTTAATAAATACATTGTGCTCTTTTAATTTTTTTTTAATTTGGTGCAGGGTCTCACTACACAGCTCAGACTCATAGAGAGCCTCCTGTCTCAGCCTCCCCAGCCCTGGGATTACAGGCATGCACCACCACACCCAGTTTTGGTGGCCAGCATGACACACCTGGGGTTCCTAGTAGCTGCATAGCATGCAGTACCGGGGATCAAACATGGGTCCTTGCACTTTCCAGGCAGGTGCTCAGACCTCTGAGCTCTCTTCCCAGCCTACATTCTGGTCTGAACCTCCGTTGTTTCTAGAATTCATTCTTCAGTCTTTGACAACATGAATTCACACCTGACATCTAGCAGATTGGGAGTCTCCTTCCTCTATGTCACAATGACTATAGCCAAAAGCATGACCAAGAGTATGGTCATCTATTTTATAACCATGTATAGCCATAGAAAACTTTAGGAAATGGTATCATACTGTTCCTAATTATTACTTTCAGAATCGGAGACATGTATTTATAATTTCATTCAACAAGTAAATGTATATCTAAAAAGTACCCAAAATTAATTATAAAGAAATGAAATATCTGTTGAGAACCTGGATCATAGGCATCTGTCCCAAGCTAAGGAAATTCATCAATAAGGATGGCAAAGTCTCTGACTTCATGCATTTACAAGCTAGTGGGACTGGCAAAGACAGTCAATAAAAAAATAATCTCCAAGTCAATAGAGGTGTTGTATGATGATGAGTACTATGGAGAACCATAAGCTAAGGATCAGAAGCACTGCAAAGGAAAATGCATTGGTAGTTTGGGAGGTAGGAGAGACTTCCTGGGACCAGCTCCAAGACGGAAACTGGACCTGCATGGTCCCCTTGTCAAGCAGAACCACAGAAGTGTACTTGGGGTGGCACCTCCCCAATCAGCTCAAAGATGCAGGCCAGAGGAGGCAATGTAGGTCCACCTTTGCACCCCATTTAAAGTTAATGCAAGGCCAAACACTGTCCCCTCCTGGCCCCACAATACAAGGGCTCTCCTTGGGTGATGAGAATGATAAATGCCCCTGGGAAAATCAGTTCCCAAGAAGCCTGACTACTCAAGCAAAAGGTGCATGAGGTCATTTGACCCAAGAGCAAAGCTGAACCACAGAATTATTTTAAAGCCATAGAGCAAAAGTCTACCAGCCATGCTGAGCCCTCACAGAGATTCCAGGACCCTCAGTTATAATAAAAGCTGGTACTTAGTGTACACCAATCCATATAAGTACCTTGTAGAAATTAACTCACTGAATTCCCAAATGCTGCGAAGCATGGATACTGCCCATGTTACATAGATGAGGAAAGCTAACTCTCATTGTTGCACACAAAACAATCCAAGTCTATTCTCATGCAGTTCAAGACACCAGAAATCCTAACTCCATGCTACTGAGTAGCTAGCAGCTGTTTCCCACCCCTGAATGGGCAGCCCAGAGCAGGTGAAACAGCCTTTGATCTGGTCAGCAGCCCAGGTCCTGGTAGCTGGGTCTCCCATGGGTGAGCCCTAAGACCTCAGGCAAGGCACGCATCTGCTTCCTGAGCCCTGGCAAGTCTTGTTCATCAGGATGGGGTCACACTGCTCATTGCTTTGTCTTTAGAGTCTCTGAATGACTTTCATGGCAGATTCACCAGGGAAGTGCCATATCTCAGCTCAGGGAGGCTACCTGCTATGCTCTGGGCCACAGAAAAGTAAAGAGTGAAGCCAGAACTAAACTTCAGGGTTTTTTGTGCCCAGGTCTTTCTCACTGGGTGGAGACTCTTGAGAAAATGTCAGCCAGAAAGAAGGCAGGATGATCTTCCAGAGTAAACAAGGGCCCAGTGTCATCTTCTTGGGGTTAGACTCAAGGCATCCATGTGAATGACACTGCCAGGCTGGCACCTCAGGAAGAGGTTTTTCTGGCTGAACACAGGCTGGGTTTTATGTTTCAGGAAGCATTCTCCTCTGTGGTGTGGGGACAGAGGGAAGAGAAGGGAGAGAACCCAAACCAGGCATCCTGATACGCTACCCACTCCCTCCCAGGCAGGTGGAGAGCCCACCCGAGGCAGGCTGGAGACTCACAGTGTGATCGGAAATAGGAGGCATGGTTCCAGAAGCAGACCTGAATTGCTACTGTACCTTGACTGTGTCCAGAGGGTGGCCGACAATGACACTGGCTGTACCTGTAGATCAAAGAAGAATATCTGGTCAACCAGAACCTGGATATCTGGTTTGCTCCAGCTGGATGTTGGAACAGTGCAGAGGACTCAGATATTACCCATTCAATCAATAATCAGCTGCTAGTAGTGGCTTTCAACATGCTCAGCACTAGCCCAGTTGCCAGTGAAAGTAGAGAAAATGAAGTCAAGCGAGGCTGTAACTCAAGGAGGAGCTCCCATGGAGAGAAGTAAGGTGCTGAGACAATAGAACATCTACATGCAAGAGAAAGCATTAGTTCCCTCCTCCAAACCATATACAAAACTTAATCCAAAATATACCAGACTTAAACAGAAGAGCTAAAACTACAGAACTGTTAGACTAAAACACAGTGAAAAAACTCCATGACTTGGGATTTGCCATGCACTGTTAAATATAACACCAAAAGCATTAAAAACAAGAAAAATAGATGAGCCAGCATCATAAAAGTAAAAGTTTTTGTGCACCATATGACACTCTAAAGAAAGTGAAGACTGCTACAGCATAGTAGAAAATATTTGCAAATCATCTATTTCATAAGAGCATAGCATCCAGAGTATATACAGAGCACTTACAACTAAAAGAATTTTTAGAAAGATAAAGAGATTGAACAGGTATTTCTTTATTGAAGACATATTAATGGATAAAAAGCACATTAATAGATGCTCAGTATCTTAATCGTTAGGGAAATGCAATTAAAATCACAGTAAGATGCCACTTTGCATTTGCTAGGATGGCTACAACAAAAGAGGAAAAATAACAAGTGTTGGCAAGACCATGGCAGACCTTGGGGAGAAGGCCTGGGTTAGAAGCCCTGTGCCCAGGTTGGGTCTGTGCATGGTCTTAGGCAAGCCACTGGATTGCTCTGTAATGTGAGAATTTGACACTACAAATCTCACTGGGGGGG